TTGTGTTCAACATGTGAGAAGTAGAAAGTACAGGTATTTGTGTTCAAAATGTAAGAAGTAGAAAGTACAGGTATTTGTGTTCAAAATGTAAGAAGTAGAAAGTACAGGTATTTGTGTTCAACATGTAAGAAGTAGAAAGTACAGGTATTTGAGTTCAACATGTAAGAAGTAGAAAGTACAGGTATTTGTGTTCAACATGTAAGAAGTAGAAAGTACAGGTATTTGTGTTCAACATGTAAGAAGTAGAAAGTACAGGTATTTGTGTTCAACATGTAAGAAGTAGAAAGTACAGGTATTTGAGTTCAACATGTAAGAAGTAGAAAGTACAGGTATTTGAGTTCAACATGTAAGAAGTAGAAAGTACAGGTATTTGTGTTCAACATGTAAGAAGTCAAAGTAAAAAGTCGTCAGAAAAATAAGTAGTGGAGTAAAGTACTGATACCAGAAAAATGTACTTAAATACATTCACAAAGTATTTGTACTCCACTGCTTCCCACCTCTGCTCATGAGGTCCTTTAACTGAGTTTGAGCTGTGTAGATATTAAGTGTAACACAGGACGCATGTATTTGGTTGAATCCTCATCCCTGTGTGTGTGCTCTCCTCAGGTGAGACGATCCGCATCGTGATCGAGGAGTACGTGCAGCACCTCAGTGGATACCTCCTGCAGCTGAAGTTCGACCCCACGCTGCTCTTCAAGTCTAACTTCCAGTACGGGAACCGCATCTCTCTGGAGTTCACGCAGCTGTACCACTGGCACCCCCTGATGCCCGATAGCTTCCTGATCAGCGGAGACCAGGTGACATATCCCCAGTTCCTCTTCAACACCTCCGTCCTCACACACTACGGCATCGAGAAGCTGGTGGACGCCTTCTCCAAGCAGGTGGCCGGACAGGTAATAAACCGCACAGACATCCATCAAACCCTCACATTGCATGTAAAGTATGAAAAGTAGTTTTTCAGGTATTCATATTCTACGTCTTCCTGTTTTACTAAAGTACCTTACTTGTGAGGTCTTACGTTGCACAAACATCAGAAATATGCAGCAACAAACCTTGCCTGGAAGTTCAAACCCTCACAGTGCCCTGTTAGTAGCTCAATTGTGGGAGATCATCTGCAGTATTGCTCTTTTAATATGCATGAAAATGAGTTTTTCTGTACTTTTTTTCTGTATTTAAGTAGAATTGTGAGTTCTTATACTAAGATTTCTGCACACCAAACATATAAAGCTTATACAATATGATGTTTTGTTTGCAGATTACTCATCAGTTTATTTATATAGCACGTTTCAACACAAGGTCATTCAAAGTGCTCTACAAAAAGGAGACACATTATTAAATGACATTTAAAACCAGGAAGGGCAAACATTATACTATACATGAAGATGATATATAAATATATGTATGTACTACAGTATAGAATATAGTGTATGCATATCAATAACTTATACTCAAAATAATTTTTTTTAAAGGATACCATCATCTAACAGCCTCCAGATAGATATGTGTAATATGTACTACACAGTGTATGTCTGAGAAAGTCACAATCCTGATTCCTGTGCATGTGATATCCAGTAGTCGGGAAAAAAACATACTTCTTGCAGCATACTGACATTTATATTGCAGATTGAAGTGCATGTGGGGGTTACGTTACGTCTCACATTTTAATTGCTGTTTTATTCATATTTGAATGATGTATGAATTAGTCTAAATGAACTCTCTTAAAACGTAACTCTCTAACCCTCTCTTATTTATCTAATATATCATATTCCAATTACAATCGAAAGTTAAACCTAAACTCGCCCCATTGCGGAGATATTCCCGCGAGAGTACGGAAAACTTAAATGTATTTATTTATTTCAAATGTTACCAATATACTCATGGGCCACTAGGGGGCGCTCATGGACTACCAGTGGACAGCACTTTGAGAAGCACTGCTCCAGATGGTCTGTCCTTCATATTTTCTCATTCACAGCCAATCATAACATTATCGTAGGAAAATGAGAGAAACACAAAAACATACAAAAAAAGACTTAGTTCCCCCTAAACAGTTAGTAGGACAATAAA